TTAGGGATTCGGGACTCATCCGTGAACCAGAACAAAAGAAAACGAACACTGAATTATCCATGCGACGTGGAATACCCCGAATGATCCCAGGGTCAAAAGATACTCTCATGAATCGAAGTATACAGTAATAAAATTTCACATCATTTTACTGAACTCCACTTCACTAGTTTCTGTAATATTCAACTATTTTTTAAAATTAATAATTAATTTCAAAGTGTCGATATTTACAAATTAATTTAATACAAAATTTTAAGTGTATATTATTTTTTTAGAAGCTTGTCAGAGTCGATATTTACAAATTAATTTAATAAAAAAATATTTCATTAAATTTTTTTAATTTTGATAAAAAGGATTCTAATTTGATTTTAAATCGTGTTGTTATTTTGTGAGAAATATTAATATCAGAGGTTTTCAGCTTGTCAGAGTCGATATTTACAAATTAATTTAATAAAAAACTATTTTATTCAATTTTTTTAATTTTGATAAAAAGGATCTCAATTTGATTTTAAATCGTGTTGTTATTTTGTGAGAAATATTAATATTGGAAGCTTTCAGCTTGTCAGAGTCGATATTTACAAATTAATTTAATAAAAAAATATTTCATTAAATATTTTTAATTTTTTTAATTTTGATAAAAAGGATTCTAATTTGATTTTAAATTGTGTTGTTATTTTGTGAGAAATATTAATATTGAATGTTTTCAGCGACAAATTGCTGGAATATTTTTAGCGTTTGCAGGAACGTAACGATCGCTGTATCCTTCGCCTCCGTAATGATTTATCTCGTTAAACGGTGCGTTGAACGCGACTCTATTCGCGTCGTGTGTTTGAATTCCAACGTATTCGCATTGCGAAGTCACGCTTCGCGCGACAAGAGAATGACAAGTTCGCGAATATACAACGCTCGGGAATTTCACGCAACGCGTCGTGTAACTTGCACCCGCGTGGTCAACGATTCCCCCTTTTTTTCTCGATCGTTATTAACGCCAGAACTACCGGAAACAGACTCGTAATCACAAATAAAAATTTTAAAAATATTCCGCTGAATTTTCGAAATTTTCTCGCCGTTTTATATAAGAGAATTGATAAATATTTATTTTCGTTGCATTATACATTTATTTGGTATAAATAAATATTTTAAATTAAAATGTGGAATTTTTTCATCGAATAAAAATTTGATTTTTTTTCAATTTTTCTAGTGTATCCTGGAAGCTAGAAAATATACGTAAATTAGTAATTATGATGATTCTCAACTTTTGCAATAATATAAATTTTCCTCTTGTTTTTTCCCCTGATTATTAATAATTTTTCTGTTTTGCAAGAAGAAACGACGCAAATGCGGTTCCGGCTAATAGCGATCATTAATAACAAGCTCTAATCGTTTGATTAATTTCCAATTGCGTCACGTAGTCCTTGGTCAAGCGAGAAATTCTCACGTAACGCGTACAATAAACCGAATAGCTCGAATTCGGAGAATTCATGCGAACAATGTAACGCTTGCAATCTTTCGATCTACGAATTCGAGTGTCTTGTCATATACAAATATAGCGGAGACGACGCAGGTTTACGTAACGAGCGGGAGAAAACGTTTCTACCTGCGGTGAGTTAGCATGCCGCCATTGATCGACACGTAGCGTCAAAAATGGAAAAATTCAAAGTCCCCAAAATGTATTAAAATATCATACAATAGATACATAAAAAAATAGAAAAAAAAATAACGAGGATAGATAAATTTTAATTTTTTTGAAATGTTTCATCGTTCCTCTCAAGTGTGAATTTTATTTTTTACGACAAACAAAAGCTTATCTTTCGTCGTACAATTAAACAGAATAGAATTTTGAAAATGAATTTCCAGATTCCAAGAAAATTTTGAAAAATTAGAAATTATTCGTATTAATGAGTACACTGGGTATGCAAATTCATATTTTAATTAAATGAGTATCTAACTTGAAAATATTTTTTTGAAAATTTAAATCTCCAATTTATTATAAGAACGTACAATTTCTGACACCACCAAAAATAATACGATAAGATATATTTTACGTTTAATTTAAGGGTGAAGGGGGGGGGGGGGGTGGTTTGGCGGGTCCAGCATTGTAAGCGTTTGAAAAACGTGCACGCATCGGTCGCTCTCGCGGTGGCTCTCTCGACTCCGCGACTGCGTTTAATCACCAGCAATGCACGTGAAAAATAATTCCTGGCGCGAGTTGAATTCCCCTCTCGGCGAATGAAATTCTCGGTTGGCTTCCAGCAACCCTTCCGCCCTCCCGGCCAACCAGCGGGCTAGAGCCATTCTGCTCTTCTTTGTATAATTAGGAGTTCCTGTCGTCGTTCGCGACGCAACGGCGTCGGCGTCGGCGTCGGCGTCGGCGTCGGCTAGGGGCTGCAGGGTGAACGCCATGTGGAAAGAGAAAACGGGGCGCGCGAGTTACGAGCAAGTGGGAGGGAGAAAGAGAAGGGATCGATATGCGCCTCATCGTCGCGACCGGATGTAGGAAGAGCTTCCACGTTTCGCGAACACGCCGAGAAGAGCGTAGGAAATCTTTGGGGGATAGAAAAATTTCGAAAAGTTGTCGCTTTCGAGCGTTAAAATTGAAGTTTTTCATTTTTTTACTAACTAATTTATAGTTCTATCGTACTAGAATGTTGGAAAATTGGTTGATTTACACTGGTACTGAATCTATTTTATTAGATCAAATTTACCTCGAAATCTAGCGTTGAGAATTTTAAATTCGAGAATTAAATTTTTATTGAAACGTTGCTGGGCAGATTAAAATCTGATGAGAGTGTCTTCAATGTATTGGCGAGATTCTCCCGAGAAAAACGAGTACAAACACGGCACCATTCGAACAATGTTTAATTATACGAAATTGAGAATTGTTTAAAAATAGTTTGAGTAAGTCAAAATGTGGTGAGAGTATCTTCAATATATTGGCGAGATTCTGCCGATGAGAATGAGTACAAACACGGTACCATTCGGATTATTTTTAATTTTGACTTATTCAAACTATTTAAAAAAAATTCTCAATTGAGTATAATTAAAAATTGACTAAATAGTGTCGTGGTTGTACTCGTTCTCCTCGGGGGAATCTCGCCAACACATTGATAATACTCTCACCCCATTTTGGCTTACTTAAACCATTTTAGAAAGATCCTAAATTTCGCATAATTAAAAATTGTCCGAATGCTGTCGTGTTTGTACTCGTTTTCCTCGGGGGAATCTCACCAACACATTGATAACACTCTCACCACATTTTGGCTTACTCAAACCATTTTAGAAAAATTCTAAATTTCGCATAATTAAAAATTGTCCGAATGGTGTCGTGTTTGTACTCGTTTTTCTCAGGAGAATCTCGTCAATACATTGATAACACTCTCACCCCATTTTGGCTTACTCAAACCATTTTTGAAAAATTCTCAATTTCGTATAATTAAAAATTGTCTAAATAGTGCCGTGTTTGTACTCGTTTTTCTCAGGAGAATCTCGCCAATACGTTGATAATACTATCACCCTTTTTTAAAAATAAAACCCTCGACTGGAAGCAGTCAATTTCCATTGTTAATAACTTTAATAGATGGTCTATTACTTTGAAAGTAATACTGGAAGCCGAAATGGTGTCATTTAAGCGCCTTTATCCGATAATTCGTGCGATAACAAGGTCGTTTCAAGTCTTATCCTCTTGATGCGATGGATCCCTGGTGTGGGGGGGTTGGAGGGTAGATAATATGTTCGCGAGCTTGGGATCAAGTGGTTATAGGCTACTCGCCAGAGACTCCAGCTGTACTTCCATTTTAACGATCTTTCGTACGATGAATCTTCAGTATGTGTGAAATATTAAAATTGGTAAAATAATTATAATCCATCATAATAGTTGAGAATTAATATTTGTTTTTAATTTCCCCAAGTCTCAACAACAACTGTCTTTCAATTAAATAAAGGTTGCTTCAAAGTTTCATTATTAGATGTTAAAAAATTAATAAAAATTTAGGGGTTGATACATCCCTCTGCAAATGCTATAAATTTGCATAAAGATCCAAGGTTTATTCGTTACAGATATTTTAAGAATATTGTTAAGGGAGTGGTACGAAAATTTTGTCGTGTAAATAATTTAAAAATCAGATTGTCATTCGATGGTGATGCAATCGAATATGCAGATTTCCATTACGCTATCTGTCGAAACGATTATACTAGGTGTTGGTGACGAACAGGATGGTGAAATTGATATCGTTTTTAATGCATTCGTTGTCTGGTGCAGACCATTGTGCCACGGTCGAGTAAGTAACGGCATTATAGATTTGCGGCGCGCCTCTTTCCCACGTCTGTCTCATACCGCTTCCGGCATACCGTGGACTTACGTACATAACGCCAATAATACTTCGTCAGAATTTATAGCCACAAATACCGTCGACCGCGATATTGCTGTGACACGATATTTAAATGCATCGGGAAAATTGCGTTCCAAGAATCAACGATATCGACAATAAAAAAAAGGTTTCTCGATGCATGATAATTATAGTACATTATAGTATAGTATATGTGTTTGAAAAAAATTGTAAAAAATGTAGTTGTGACGTTCAATGGGTGGGTAACAAATGTAGTTGGTTTTTGGAAACTGATATAAAATGGTATCATAGATATAGAAATTGTATAGAATAGAAAATATTTTTGAAAATTTTTTGAAAATTTTTATTTGAGTTTTACTTAATCATGTTGATTCTTCTTGTACAATTCTAAGAATATACCTGGTATTTAGAGGCTAATAAAATGGTAGTAATCAAACAAAAAATAAAAAAAAATTTTTGCCAAAATCTTCTTCAATTTATATGATAGTGAACATTAATTTTAATTATATTGATACTCCTTGTGCAGGTCTAAGAATAAATTAGAGACTCATAAAGTGGTAGAATGGAATAAAAAATTTAAAAAAATGTCTGCTAGAACATTGTTTATATGATGGTGAACGTATGAGAGTTTTAATAATATTAATTCTCTTTGTTTAGGTCACGTATTCGGCTGACCTGGCAATCGAGATACCAGGAAACCTGAGCCAGGGTGGTTCCTGGTATCGTTTAGATTACAGCCCCGATGTTGGTTATCCAGAACCAAACACCACGATAGCCGCCACCGACATAGGCGACGTCATAACGTTCAAGAACGGTCTTCCTGGCACTAGATACGAATTTTGGTTGTATTACAGTAACAGCACTCTTCATGATTGGCTCACGTGGACAGCCTCCATTGTCACAGGTGCATACATACACTAATTCACTATTAAACCCTGACTTGGTACACTAATCGAGGATCCAAGATCAACTATTTTCATTTCAAGAAATAAAGCAAAATTACTACTTAATTATTAGGTATAGATCATTACTTTTCTACTTGGAGTTTAATATTCTTCCATATTGGTGTATAAAAAGTACAGTATTCCATTAAAAAAGAAAAAAAAAAACAAAAAGTTGACTACCTTGTACCATATAGTACCCTTCTTTTTTATAGGAAATTTTTTTGGGCTTAATTTGGAAGTTGTAGGATTGCACAAGTTCCATAGAAGACCCTGGACCACTAAAAAATCAAATTTGTCTTATTATTAAAAATAAAAAATCTGTTCCATCTTGCAAACCTCTCGAACAAATAATTCTAATTTAATTTCAATTTTAATTTTAATTTTAATAAAGTTTCATTCTCCACTTTAATTTGCATCGAGATCTTTTATGGTAGACACTATTCTACTCTTCTCAGCTGGTCGCCATTAGCGTAGGAATGCTCGAATACGAATACAAACGTGATTCATTTTCCAGCACCGGATCCTCCCTCGAACCTCACCGTCTCGGTGCGAAATGGAAAGACTGCGGTGGTCTATTGGGCGCCGCCAGCCCAGGGCAATTATTCCGGCTTCCGGCTGAGGGTGCAGAGCTTCAGCGACACCGGAAACCCAAAAACAAGCGTCATCCCCGCGGATGCTGTCCCCTACGTTCTACGAGACCTCATCCCCGGCGCCACCTATTCTCTCCAACTCTTCACCGTGTTGGACACCAAAGAAAGCGTCGCTTACACCAGCAGGAACTTCACCACAAGTCAGTCACATCAACAATCTACAGTTCATTCGCTAAACTTGCTCGTTAATTCAAATAATTCCTCCATTTTCAATTCACCAGGTCATCTTGTGTGTTTGTTTTACAACTTGAGGCAATATTCTAAACTTGCAATGGAATTTCATGGAAAAACTTGCTCCATTTTGTATTGGAAAGTCTGGAGATTGTTGCATTTTACTTCTCATGAGTTTAATAAATCTGTGGATGTCGAACTTTGAGCTTTGACACTATTTGTTCCAAATTTCTATGAATCCTTAATCTTAATTTAAAGTTTCAGAAATCCCCTGACCTGACAAACTTCATTTTGTTGCCCATCAAATTACAGAATTTTGTCCAATTTGAGAATATCTAATATAATTTTGATTCTTCCTTCATTTCATAGACTGAGAATTGTTTGTATTTCTTTCAGAGCCAAATACACCTGGGAAGTTCATCGTATGGTTCAGAAACGAAACGACTTTATTGGTCCTCTGGCAGCCGCCCTATCCCGCCGGGATTTACACCCATTATAAAGTTAGTATAGACCCTGCTGATGCCATAGAATCGGTTCTTTACGTGGAGAAGGAAGGGGAGCCCCCTGGGCCTGCGCAGGCTGCCTTCAAAGGACTCGTTCCTGGTAAGATATTTATTAAAATCCCTAGATCAAACTCTAAACTAGTCTCAAACAAACCTATCAAATCACCTAGAATCGTTCGAGCTTAAAAACTGTTGGGAATGTTGGCAAACATGCATGTGCTGGAGGGATTTCCTTTTTCCTTCGTTGGCAGGCGTGCGCGTCGTCTTTTGTTTTTCTATATAGCCGAATACAGTTGAGAGTGTCGTGTACAAAAGTGATCCATATTATATATATAAAAACGTAACCATAAAACGTATGTGTCGTTGGTTGTTTAAACTCTGTAACCTCTGCTACAAAAACTTACTTGAGAAAAGAACAATCTTCCCATTTCTTGATAGTTTGAGTGTTTGTTAGTTTAACATACTTATTTCTTATTTGATTTGGTTTCTAATTTTTTATTTTTGTTGCAGGGAGAGCCTACAATATTTCTGTGCAAACTGTGTCTGAGGATGAGACCTCAGCCCCCACAACGGCTCAGTATCGAACTGTGCCATTGCGACCCCTGAACGTCACCTTTGACAAATCTTCGATAACGTCCACCTCGTTTCGAGTCTTTTGGAACCCCCCAGAAGGGATGTCTGAGTTCGATAAGTATCAGATATCTTTGGGGGGCAACCGCAGAGTGGCGCCAGTCACAAGAAATCGAGATGACGAGAACAAATGGGAGTCGAAGGACCTGGAGCCTGGGAAGACTTATCAGGTTGTCGTGAAGACAGTGTCTGGGAAGGTTACCAGCTGGCCAGCTAGCGGGGATATTACTTTGAGTGGGTCTTTTCTCTTCCTCGAGCTTCTATTTTAGTGGAAATTGGGCGATAAAGTTAGTGAATTAATTTTTTTGTTACTTTATTGTCAGAACCGTTACCTGTACGTGATCTTCGAGCTGTTACTGATGAGAAAACCAATATGGTGGAAGTTTCTTGGCTTCCTGAAAATTCTAGCACTCAGGACAGTTACAAGCTGCAGTATCACGAAGTGGAGACGACGATTGGTGGAGATAGCAACACGTTAACTACTGATAAGACTAAAGTAAGTTTTAGGATTGAGTTAACAATCTTCTAACGACCATAACTTCTATAATAGTGAGTGTATTTTATTGAAATTTATTTACGTAGTAGAGCTCATTGGTACCTACAAAAAAGTATTAGGCAACTTTTCTGTAGGGCGTCAAATAAAGATATTAAAAATGAGAAACGAATTTCTAAGAAAAGGGTAGTCCCCTTTTTCGGCGAAAAAAAAAGATTTCAAATCGATCTAAAAAAATTATTTTTGGCTGAAGGGGTTAAGAACAATCATTTTTGGTCATTAGACATACCCCCGAAATCCTAACCATTTTCGAGAAAAAAATTCTTTACCGAAAATGTAATTTATGGCCGGAAATGTTGCCCGAAAATTTCATGCGAATCTTTAAAATGCCATAACTTCTGAACGGATTGGAGGATTTTAATGTTTGAAACGGCGAACAACGCGTATTTTTCTGAAGAATATGTAGAAATTGTAAAAATACTGAAAAATTTATTCGTTCACCCTGTAAAATTCAAAAAACACCATAAAAATGGTCCAATTTTCAAACAGCCATAACTCCTACAATAGTGAATATATTTCAATGAAATTTTCGGAGAAAGTAGAGCTCATGGACACCTACAAAAAAGTATTAAACAATTTTTCTATAGGGCGTCAAATAAAATTACTAAAAATAAAAAACGAATTTTTAAGGAAAATCGACCATGGGGGTTCCCCTTTTTCGACGGAAAAAAAAAATTTCAAATCGTTCTGGAAAAATTATTTTCGGTTGCAGGGATCAATTACAATCATTTTTGGTCATTAGATGTACCCCCGAAATCTTACGCATTTTCGAGAAAAAAATTCGAAAAGTTTTGAAATTTTTCGATAATATTAAAATTTTTCAAATCGTTCTAAAAAGATTATGTCTAGCTAGGGGGATCAATTACAATAACTTTTGGTGAATAGACATACCCTCGAAATCCTAACCATTTTCGAGAAAAAAATTCAGTAAATGGACAAATTTTTCGATGAAATTAAAAAGTTTCAAATCGTTCTGGAAAAATTATTTTCAGTTGCAAGGGTTAAGAACAATCATTTTTGGTCATTAGACATACTCTCGAAATCCTACACAGTTTCAAGAAAAAAATTCAAATAGATGTGTAAATTTTTCGACGAAAAAAAAAATTTCGAATCGATCTGAAAAAATTATTTATAGTTAGGGGAGTCATTTACTATCATTTTTGGTCAATAGACATACCTCCAAATTCCTACCCATTTCCCAAAAAAAAATTCGAGAAGGTGTGAAATTTTTCGACGAAAAAACAAATTTCGAATCGATCTGAAAAAATTATTTATAGTTAGGGGGGTTAATTTCGATCATTTTCGGTGAATAGACATATCCCGAAATTCCTACTCCCTTTCAAGAAAAAAATTCAAGAAGAAGCCTAAATTTTTCGACAAAAAAAAATTTCGAATTGATTTAAAAAAATTATTTTTAGTTAGGGAGGTTAATTACAATCATTTTTGGTGAATAGAGATATCCTCGAATTCCTATTCAGTTTTGAGAAAAAAATTCTTTATCGAAAACATAATGCCTGACCGTAAAAGTCTCCCTGAAATTTCATCCATATCTTCAAAAAATCATAACTCCTGAACGAATCGGTGAATTTTAATGTTTCAAAATGCAAAAAACGGGTATTTTAATACAGTATATTAAGAAATTCTAACAATGTTGGAAAAGTTGCTCCTTAACCCCCATAAAAATAGTCGAATTCCTCATTTTTGTTACTTCATATGTGGGTATAGTCCAAGTATCTCACGTAAACAATTTTCCTGAATTTTCATCGTTATAATTCCATATCCAGGTCACTTTGGAGGCTCTGCTACCAGGGAGGAATTACTCCATAATCGTGCAAGCAATTAGCAACAAAGTAGAGTCAAACGAGACTGTTCTGTACCAAGTAACCCGACCTTCCAGTCCAATAATCGAGGATTTGAAGCCCATCGAGATGGGGTTGAACATCTCCTGGAAAAGCGACGTGAATTCCAGGCAAGAGAAGTTCGAAGTAACGCACAACAGAAACGACACTGGTGAGAGCGCCACGACGTTGACCACGGAATCTCACATTGTCTTGGAGGACCTCTACCCTGGTGCAGCGTACGAGGTCAAAGTCTTCGCGATCAGCCATGGCCTAAGCAGCGAACCACACGACTATTTCCAAGCAGTTTGTAAGCAACATCACTATAACACTCAAATGAAGCGTGTAAAATTTATAAAATATTATTATTATTGTCCAATTCCAGTACCCCATCCGCCTAAAAACTTGACTATTGAGAAAGTAACGAGCAACACTGTTGTTGTCCATTGGGAAGCTCCGACGGATTCGTTGTATTCAGAATTCCCGATCAGATATCGAACGGAGGACGATCCGAGGTGGGTGAAACTGCCCAGCTTTCGGGTGACGGAAGCGGAAGTGGCGGACATGACGCCTGGGGAGAAGTACACGATTCAAGTGAACACTATGAGCTACGGAGTTGAGAGCCTTTTTCCTCTGCAAGTCAACCATACAGTTCGTGAGTAAATAAAGGATTTGATTGAGATCCTAGGGCTAACAGACCTGGACCTAACATACCTAGACCTAACAGACCTAGACCTGACCCAGATCTAGACCTAGCAGACCTAGACCTAACAGACCTAGATTTAACAGACCTAGACCTAACCCAGACCTAGACCTAACCCAGACGTAGACCTAACCCAGACCTAACCCAGACCTAGACCTAACCCAGACCCAGACCTAACCTAGACCTAGACCTAACCCAGATCTAGACCTAACATACCTAGACCTAACAGACCTAGACCTAACCCAGATCTAGACCTAGCAGACCTAGACCTAACCCAGACCTAGACCTAGCAGACCTAGACCTAACCCAGACCTAGACCTAGCAGACCTAGACCTAACAGACCTAGAACTCGTTAATATTACTATAAACCTAATATCAAATGTGTTTATTTCTTGATAACACTTAAATTAACTCTAGATTCCAGATTCTGTCCTTTCAATAATGTTTAAAAACTAATTTCAGGCCCAAATCCCGTACTCAACATCACTCCAATCATCGACTCGACGAACGTGACGCTGGAATGGCCTAGACCAGAGGGTAGAATCGAGACCTACGTGATAAGATGGTGGCCAGTCGAGAACATCGAAGACGTTCGGACCAAGAACGTCACAGAAAGCAACGATGTTTCCAGCATAGGTTACGAAGAGAACTCTGTGCAAAAGGTTCTAGTGAGCGATCTGATGCCTGGTGTTCAGTACACCTTCCTCATCTACACGGTGTCCTACGATCTAGTCAGCGAAGTGACCAATCTGACCACCAGGACAAGTACGTTCTATCTCAAACCTGAAACCTCGTTTCTCTCGTTTGTTTTCCATTAAATTGTTTTATAATGAATTCTGACCACGAGTGCTAACAACATGCTAAAAATTTGACCTCTCATCCGGCTTGAAGTCTCATTACTAACAGTGTGTTAGTAGAATTCATGGAATCACACATTTGTGACGCATTTAACGATCAAAAGCAGTTATTACACTTGTACAAAATTACCATTATAGCTCAGTTTCGCGTGATTTCGTGATTAAAAATTCCTCCAAGTTTGCTCTTCGAGACGAAGGGCAAACGAGAGAGAACCGCGCGGTTAGGATTAATCGAAAGCATAAGGTCGACCAAGCAAACACGAGTTTGTCGGATCCAGTGCCTCTCATTCAATCGGAAGTCGTTGTGGTGGTCAGTCGAGATCAGCCGGATTCCTTAACGTTGAGGTACACGTCCACGCCCATCCAGTCGTCGATTTTCGATTTGTATCGGTTCCGGATTAGCGACGAGAACAACACCACGAAGGAACGACTGGTAGACGACACCGACAATAAGGTCACGTTCAATGGCCTAACACCTGGCAAACTCTACAACGTGACCGTTTGGACCGTCAGCGATAACGTCGAGAGCAGACCTCTTCTTAGGCAGGATCGACTTTGTGAGTATTTTCTACACGAAAATCAACGATCAACATGTTCTACGTAAATCAGATCTGTGCAAGGTGTAATTAGGGTTTTTTTATAGTTCATAATTACTACTAGAATTGGCTTCCGGGTTGGAGCCACGTTCAGAAGACGAGAGAGTCCTCAGAAGACGAGAGAGTCCTTCTGAACGCGGCTCCAACCCTGAAGCCAATTCTAGTAGTAATCACTATGGCCGCGAAAGCCTAAAAAGTATTATAGTTCATAATGTTCATTGAAACTGGAATATATTTATCAGTAATTATAAACTGATTCAAGTAGAAGTCTAATATTGGTACTATTTTTTTTTTTATTTGATATGATAGAGAAAATTTAGATAGTTTTTTTGAAATTGGTGATCATCTTTTGACAGTGGAGATATTATTAAAACATCATACATCATGGAAATTATGATAATTTCATTATAATCTTCAGGATTTGTTTTAAGTAAAAACCTAAAATTGGTATTAGTTTTTTATTTAATATAGTGACGAAAATCGAAATAATTTTAGAAATTGATATTATTTTTTGAGAATGGAGACATTATTAAAGTTTTTTTATTAAGTTTTATTATATATCATGGAAATTATGCTAATTTCATTATAATCTTCAGGATTTGTTTTAAGAAGGGACCTAAAATTGGTACTATTTTTTTATTTAATATGATAGCGAAAATCTAAATAATTTTAGAAATTAGAAATCATCGATTGACATATGATGGAGATATTATTAAAATGTTTACAGTTTTATTATTGTATATCATGGAAATTATGATAATTTTATTATAATTGGTACTATTTTTTGATTTAATATAGTAGCGAAAATCTAAATAATTTTAGAAATTAGAAATCATCTTTTGACAGTGGAAACATTATTAAAATGTTTACAGTATTATTATACATGATGGAAATTATGATAATTTCATTATAATCTTCAGGATTTGTTTTAAGCAGAAACCTAGAATTGCTATTATTTTTTTTATTTAATTGATATATTAGAGAAACTAAAATAATTATCAAAAAATTGGTACCATTTTCTAAATTATAATTATACTATTATACTCCATGGAAATTATACTACACTCTCTATTTTAAAATTTGTTTTAAGTAACAATCTAAAAACGATATTATTTTTTTTATTTAATTGATATAGGAAACTAAAATAATTACCACAAATTGGTACCACTTTTTGATGATGGAAACATTGCATTCTAATAAGGTTTCTGGTATTATTATATTCCATGGAAATTATGCTACACTCTCTATTTTATTATAATATAATTTTCAAAATTTGTTTTAAGTAACAATCTGAAAAAATTATTACCACTTTTTGATGATGGAAATTTTGCATTCTAAAACGTTTCTGCTATTATTATACTTCATGGAAATTATGCTACACTCACTATTTTATTATAATATAATTTTCAAAATTTTTTTTAAGTAACAATCTAAAAACGATATTATTTTTTTATTTAATACATATAATAGGGAATCTAAAATAATTACCAGAAATTGATACCACTTTTTGATGATAGAAACATCACAATCTATAAAACATATTTCTGTAATTATCATAAATCATGGAAATTATTTTATATTTTCTATTTCATCAGAATATTCAAGATTTATTTTGATTGGAAATTTAAAATCCATATTATTTTCTTATTTAACAAATATATAGTAATAAAATCCAGATAATTACCATAAATTGGTACCAATGTTTGATAATCAATTCGTCATAATTTAAAACATTTCTATAATTATCATACATCATGGAAATTATTTTACATTTTCTATTTCATCAGAATTTTCAAGATTTATTTTAACTAGAAATTTAAAATCGATATCATTTTCTTATTTAACCAAAATAATTACCACAATTTGGTACTACTTTTTGATGATGTAAACATCACAATCTAAACCTTTTTTTGGAACTATCATACATCACAAAAATTATTTTACATTTTCTATTTCACCACAATATTCTAGATTTCTTTTAACCCCAGAAAAAATATTATTTTACCAAAATAACTACCAGAAATTGGTACCACTGTTATATCATATACCACAAGAATCATGCTACATCGAAAATAATTATAGTAATGAATATTTCCTCACTGATAGGAGTCTTTCACGATCGATGGTGCATATATACATTGGATATTACGTTAATATGACTTTAACACTGTCTTTCGGGTAAATATTTACTTATTGTTTCATAACGGGGTGTGGTACTAGAAAACATAGCCGTTTTCATTGTGTTATTTCTGTCGCGGCTTGCATCGATGCATGTTTGAAGCGTACATCGAGACTGTACGAGCTCATATGAAATATCCCCACTTCCAGAACGTGGTATTTCGTGTTATTTTGAATCAGGCTTGCCGCTTATGGTGCTCGAAATTATTGCAACGTAATTAACAAACAGAGAATAATTTAACGGAAATTTTACATGTGTATTATTTTACAATTGCTCCAAATTGTGTTTTAAAAATTTAATTAATAAAAATTTTTCAATTCTATCGAATCATTTAAAATTCTCTAAAATTGAAATTTAATTAAAATTTAAATTGTCAAGCGTGTAATTGATGCTCCAAATTGTGTTTCAAGAATTTAATTAATAAAAATTTTTCAATTCTATCAAATCATTTAAAATTCTCTAAAATTGAAAATTAAGTAAAATTTAAATTGTCAAGCGTGTAATTGATGCTCCAAATTGTGTTTCAAGAATTTAAATAATAAAAATTTTTCAATTCTATCGAATCATTTAAAATTCTCTAAAATTGAAAATTAAGTAAAATTTAAATTGTCAAGCGTGTAATTGATGCTCCAAATTGTGTTTTAAGAATTTAATTAATAAAAATTTTTCAATTCTATCAAATCATTTAAAATTCTCTAAAATTGAAAATTAAGTAAAATTCAAATTGTCAAGCGTGTAATTGATGCTCCAAATTGTGTTTTAAGAATTTAATTAATAAAAATTTTTCAATTCTATCGAATCATTTAAAATTCTCTAAAATTGAAATTTAATTAAAATTTAAATTGTCAAGCGTGTAATTGATGCTCCAAATTGTGTTTTAAGAATTTAATTAATAAAAATTTTTCAATTCTATCAAATCATTTAAAATTCTCTAAAATTGAAAATTAAGTAAAATTCAAATTGTCAAGCGTGTAATTGATGCTCCAAATTGTGTTTCAAGAATTTAATTAATAAAAATTTTTCAATTCTAGCAAATCATTTAAAATTCTCTAAAATTGAAAATTAAGTAAAATTTAAATTGTCAAGCGTGTAATTGATGCTCCAAATTGTGTTTTAAGAATTTAATTAATAAAAATTTTTCAATTCTATCGAATCATTTAAAATTCTCTAAAATTGAAAATTAAGTAAAATTCAAATTGTCAAGCGTGTAATTGATGCTCCAAATTGTGTTTTAAGAATTTAATTAATAAAAATTTTTCAATTCTATCGAATCATTTAAAATTCTCTAAAATTGAAAATTAAGTAAAATTTAAATTGTCAAGCGTGTAATTGATGCTCCAAATTGTGTTTTAAGAATTTAATTAATAAAAAATTTTTCAATTCTATCAAAACATTTAAAATTCTCTAAAATTGAAAATTAAGTAAAATTTAAATTGTCAAGCGTGTAATTGATGCTCCAAATTGTGTTTTAAGAATTTAATTAATAAAAATTTTTCAATTCTATCGAATCATTTAAAATTCTCTAAAATTGAAATTTAATTAAAATTTAAATTGTCAAGCGTGTAATTGATGCTCCAAATTGTGTTTCAAGAGTTTAATTAATAAAAATTTTTCAATTCTATCGAATCATTTAAAATTCTCTAAAATTGAAAATTAAGTAAAATTTAAATTGTCAAGCGTGTAATTGATGTTCCAAATTGTGTTTCAAGAATTTAATTAATAAAAATTTTTCAATTCTATCAAAACATTTAAAATTCTCTAAAATTGAAAATTAATTAAAATTTAAATTGTCAAGCGTGTAATTGATGCTCCAAATTGTGTTTCAAGAATTTAATTAATAAAAATTTTTCAATTCTATCGAATCATTTAAAATTCTCTAAAATTGAAAATTAAGTAAAATTCAAATTGTCAAGCGTGTAATTGATGCTCCAAATTGTGTTTCAAGAATTTAAATAATAAAAATTTTTCAATTCTATCGAATCATTTAAAATTCTCTAAAATTGAAAATTAAGTAAAATTTAAATTGTCAAGCGTGTAATTGATGCTCCAAATTGTGTTTTAAGAATTTAATTAATAAAAATTTTTCAATTCTATCAAATCATTTAAAATTCTCTAAAATTGAAAATTAAGTAAAATTCAAATTGTCAAGCGTGTAATTGATGCTCCAAATTGTGTTTTAAGAATTTAATTAATAAAAATTTTTCAATTCTATCGAATCATTTAAAATTCTCTAAAATTGAAAATTAAGTAAAATTTAAATTGTCAAGCGTGTAATTGATGCTCCAAATTGTGTTTTAAGAATTTAATTAATAAAAAATTTTTCAATTCTATCAAAACATTTAAAATTCTCTAAAATTGAAAATTAAGTAAAATTTAAATTGTCAAGCGTGTAATTGATGCTCCAAATTGTGTTTCAAGAATTTAATTAATAAAAATTTTTCAATTCTATCGAATCATTTAAAATTCTCTAAAATTGAAATTTAATTAAAATTTAAATTGTCAAGCGTGTAATTGATGCTCCAAATTGTGTTTCAAGAATTTAATTAATAAAAATTTTTCAATTCTATCAAATCATTTAAAATTCTCTAAAATTGAAAATTAAGTAAAATTCAAATTGTCAAGCGTGTAATTGATGCTCCACATTGTGTTTTAAGAATTTAATTAATAAAAATTTTTCAATTCTATCAAATCATTTAAAATTCTCTAAAATTGAAAATTAAGTAAAATTTAAATTGTCAAGCGTGTAATTGATGCTCCAAATTGTGTTTCAAGAATTTAATTAATAAAAATTTTTCAATTCTATCGAATCATTTAAAATTCTCTAAAATTGAAATTTAATTAAAATTTAAATTGTCAAGCGTGTAATTGATGCTCCAAATTGTGTTTTAAGAATTTAATTAATAAAAATTTTTCAATTCTATCAAATCATTTAAAATTCTCTAAAATTGAAAATTAAGTAAAATTTAAATTGTCAAGCGTGTAATTGATGCTCCAAATTGTGTTTCAAGAATTTAATTAATAAAAATTTTTCAATTCTATCAAATCATTTAAAATTCTCTAAAATTGAAATTTAATTAAAATTTAAATTGTCAAGAGTGTAATTGATGCAGTTTTTTTTAATTTAGAAATTATTTGGAGTTCTAAATAAATGTTCTAGAACAAAATGGCGCCGTGAAAATCAATATTTACCCTCGTTTTAAATAAAAAATTTTTCTAATTTATTTTGAAATTTGATTTCAGATCCTGAGCCAATCACAGCTATCCAGACAATAGACATCAACGACACAAAAATAACCCTAACTTGGGACATTCCTCGAGGACAGTACGATTCGTTCGAAGTTCAATACATTAATACAGATGGGAATTACATTCAAAATATAACGTCGATTAATCAGATAACTATATCAGATTTGAAGCCTTATAGAAATTACACCTTCACGCTGGTCGTTCGATCAGGTACAGCGTCTTCGTATCTCAGAGTTTCGAATCCACTCAGCGCCAGTTTCACAACGAGCGAATCTTACCCTGGAAAAGTGGAGAAGTTTCATCCCACGGACATTCAACCCAGTAATATAAGTTTTGAGTGGTCTTTGCCTGGTCAAAAGCAAAATGGAATCATCAGGAAATACACTATCACGTATGGGTTGGAAGTGAGTTGATTAGAAGGCGTTTTTATTGCAAAAATTAATTCTTAGAATTTTTGGAAAATATTTATTAAACTTGTGTTTTTGGTGAGAAATATTCTCGAAGGGTGGTTTCAAATTTTTAGTTAATTTTTGAAGCTTTTTTTTTGTTCAAATAATTTTTGTAATTATTAATTTGACAATGTTAATTTGGATGAGTATGGAAGATTAAATTTTTCAATTTAAGTCTTCAATTTTAGAATTTTTGAAAATTTTAAATAAATCCATAGTGTTTTTAACAAAAAACTTATTCCATCGATGGCATATGTGCTTTTGATGAGAAACATTCTCGAAGGGTGGTTTACAATTTTTAGTTAACGGGAATCGAAGAATATTTTATTTTATTATTCTAATATAATTAAAATTGTTTTGTGATTAGGGTTCGACCCACACTCAGATGCAAGACTTCAGGTCAAACGAGTACCGTGGCGTGATAAAATCTCTCATACCTGGAAAGACGTATATATTTCGTATTCAGGCCCAAACGAAAATCGGTTTTGGGCCTGAGGCCGTTTGGAAACAGAAAATGCCGATTCTAGCACCGCCCAAACCACCGACTCAAGTTGTACCGACGGAGGTCTGCAAGAGCAGCACCACGATTCAAATACGATTCAGGAAGCATTACTTCACGGAGGAAAATGGCGCCGTGACGTCTTACACGATCATCGTCGCTGAGGATGACAGCAAGAACGCCTCTGGCTTGGAGATGCCCAGCTGGAAGGATGTTCAAGCGTACAGCATCTGGCCTCCCTATCAGGTGGGATTTGTTATCATTTTATTAGTAACAACCCCTTTGGATGCAAAGAGAAATTGTAAATAATAGTTTGTAAAATAGTAGTTTGGTTTGTGAGGCTTCTCAGTTTGGTAAATCTAAATTTCTCTGTTTTTACTATGTTTGTATAGGATTTATTAGAGTGTTTTAGAGCAGTTTTAAGTAGAAATGATTGCTTATAGTGATTCAGATAGGTTCGGTAGATAAAAGAATTTTTATTTTACAATTTTAGTTGTGAGGCAATTAACACATTACCGACCGATGGCCTATTAATCGACTTTTTTACCGACCAACACTTACCGACCGATAGCGTATTAATCAACTTTTTTACCGACCAACGCTTACCGACCGATAGCCGATTAATCAACCGCTACCGGTCGGAAAAGTGTTAAAAGAATTTTTATTTTATCATTTTAGTGAGTCAATAATAAAACAACTTTTATTTTACAATTTTACTAGTGAGTCAATTAAAAGAATTGTTATTTTACAATTTTAGTAGTCAGTCAATAGTAAAATAATTTTTATTTCACAATTTAATGAACGAGTCAAATAAAATTATTTTTTTTTTACAATTTTATTAGTGAGTCAGTAGTAAAATAATTTTTATTTTACAATTTTAGTAGTGACTCAATAGTAAAATAATTTTTATTTTAAAATTTTAGTAGTGAGTCAATAATAAAATAATATTCTTTGATGCAAACTGTAAAATTCTGGATAAAGGCATGAATTAAAAAATGCATTTTAATTTAACATATCCAATTTATATTGAAATACTTATATTCGTGAATTTGCTATAATATTTCTAGTTTTTTTAATTTTTAACGAGCAGACAAATCTAGAAATAAACTTGTATATTTTACAATTTTACTAGCAAGTCTGATAAAAGAATTTTCATTTGACAATTGTAGTATTGAGTCAATAGTAAAATAATTTTTATTTCACAATTTTACTATTGAATCTAATATAATAATTTTTAATTTACAATTTTACTAGTGAGTTAATAGTAAAAGAATTTTTATTTTATAATTTTAGTAGTGAGTTATATAAAATAATTTTTATTTTGCAATTTTAATAGTGTCAATAATAAAACAACTTTTATTTTACTATTTTACTAGTGAGTCAAATAAAAGAATTTTTATTTTACAATTTTAGTAGTCAGTCAAATAAAATAATTTTTATTTCACAATTTAATGAACGAGTCAAATAAAATTATTTTTTTTTTTACAATTTTATTAGTGAGTCAGTAGTAAAATAATTTTTATTTTACAATTTTAGTAGCGAGTCAATAGTAAAATAATTTTTAGTTACAATTTTAGTAGTCAGTCAATAGTAAAATAATTTTTATTTAACAATTTTATGAATGTGTCAAATAAAATAATATTCAAATAAAAAAAATTCAAATAAAATAATATTTTTTGATGTAAATTGTCAAATTCTAAATAAAGAGATGAATAAAAAAATGCATTAGAATTTATCAAATCTAATTTATTTTGAAATACTCATATACAAAAATTTGCTAAAACATTTCAATTTTTCAAATCTCTAACATGCAGACAAATCAAGAAATAAGCTCGTAAATGTAACAAAATAATCAAAATTCTCGTCATAAATCGCATTCCGATGAAACGATTGAGAAATCGTTAATGATCGAGGAATTCTCAAAATCGTCGAGAAGTCATCCTACGGTTGAATTTTTTTTCGAATCACCGATCGATCGATCAGATGCGTCATCGGGGCTCGGAACGATATCGCAATAGAGATGTAAAATAATTAATTCAGCGAATTATACCGAGTGACTCGTTAACTTGCCGGATCACGAGCGAATAACGCAAAACAACGCTGGAAAAACGTGCACTCAAGACCACGCATAAACAATCGTGTTCCCCGCAATTGTTGCATTACGTGCGCTCCGGAGGCGATAGTTAATTGAAGAACGCGCGTGGTTCTAGTTGTTAGAGGACGAGGCGAACTGTCGTAACATCGAAACGCCTCGAAAATAACTAATTACCATCCTTGAAACGTATAAAATTGAAAATCTGATTGCTACGAAGTGCAACAGAGTTTACAAATCAAACAAATCTTTTTCTAAATCTACTTTTTTCATTTACAAAAACACCCTGTGTGTTCTATGAAAATTATGGAAGCTTCGTTTCTCGAAAATTTTTACGAAAAAAATGGGTTTCAAAAGTGTAATAAAAGTGTGATAAAAATGAAAAAACAGAGTGCAAAGTTTTCTCGTTAACGATGTTGCAATTATTGTGAAAATTTAATTTGTGCTTCTTTAATTTGAGTGAAAATTTTTACGAAAAAAATGAGTTTCAAAAGTGTGAGATAAAAATGAAAAAACAGAGTGCAAAGTTTTCTCGTTAACGATGTTGCAATTATTGTGAAAATTTAATTTGTGCTTCTTTGGTTTGAGTGAAAATTTTTGAGCCATGAATGTTTTGGAGGATTTGATTTCCAAAGCTGGAAAATTCTTCACTCAGGTGATGTGTAATAATTTTTGACTATTTGGGTAATTTTTTGATTTAAAGTAATTTCTGACTATTTGGGTAATTTTTTTATTTAAAGTAATTATTGACTATTTGGGTAATTTTTTTAATTTAAAGTAATTCTTGACTATTTGGGTAATTTTTTAATTTCAAGTAATTTCTGACTATTTTGGTAATTTTTGTCTATTTGAGTAATTTTTGTCTATTTTGGTAATTTTTTAATTTAAAGTAATTTCTGACTATTTGGGTAATTTTTTAATTTCAAGTAATTTCTGACTATTTGGGTAATTTTTGTCTATTTGGGTAATTTTTGTCTATTTGGGTAATTTTTGACTATTTAGGTAATTTTTGTCTATTTGAGTAATTTTTGTCTATTTTGGTAATTTTTTAATTTAAAGTAATTTTTGACTATTTGGGTAATTTTGGAATTTAAAGTAATTCTTGACTATTTGAGTAATTTTTGTCTATTTGGGTAATTTTTGAATTTAAAGTAATTCTTGACTTGCCTCCTGGGAGGTTTGAACTCACGACCCCTGGTTTACGAGACCAGTGCTCCTGCCACTTAGCTAAAGAGGCTCGATAAGTAATTCTTGACTATTTGGGTAATTTTTGTCTATTTGTGTAATTTTTAAATTTAAAGTAACTTTTGACTATTTGTTTAATTTTTTAATTTAAAGTAATTTCTGACTATTTTTGTAATTTTTTAATTTGGTAGCTTGGAATATTGCAATAAATATAGTGCAATTGAGAGTTGTTAGAATTGTCATTTATTTCAATATAATAAATAAACAAAATTGAGTTTTATTTTCTCAAATAGAGAATTTTTCTTATTAAAATAGGAAATTATTATGCAAAGTTTCTGTTTTATAGAAAATCACAGATCAGAGTGTGCATCTAATTTACAAAATGGTGGTTCAAAAATCACAGTTTTGAGTCACTCGTCATGTGAAAATATTTTTGATGAAGAAACATAGAAACAGAATCTATGACGTTAATCATAAGCATATTTATGCTTCACTATTGGTCATATTTCCATCTAACAGGAAACATTTCATGAACATAATATATAATCCATGCAATTCGTATGCACAAGGTCGATGCAAGTGTAAACAAATCTCACGAGGTGTTCGTTGCCATAATTGCAACTCACCCTCGATAAATAAATTACTATTATTCGAAGACCAACGACGACACACAGTATGGTCTGTTTTTATTAACCAGATATCCAAATTTGTATGCAAATTAATTCCCAAAGCTTCTTCAACAGCGCATAAAACTTTCCATAAATGCTAATAAACAAATTTCGTTTATTTTTAAAGGCGATGGAGCCTTACTATCCGTTCAAAAATGGCTCGGTGGAGGATTTCACGATCGGTAGCGAAAATTGCGACGGGAAAAGCGTGTATTGCAATGGACCATTGAAGTCTGGCTCCACTTACAGGGTCAAAGTTCGAGCATTCACTGCGCCTGACAAATTCACGGACACCAGTTACAGTTTTCCGATCCAAACAGGTGAGAACGATCGTTGCACAATGTGTTTACATCACAAATTATAGATTAGAATCACATTTATTCTATTTCAGATTTTTTTTAATATTCATAGTTCTAAATAGATTTCAGATTTAGGAAAATTGGTAACAATTTGGTAGAATATTCTTCTATATTTTTCTGGTTATTTTATAATTAGTTTGTTATCTAATATTATAATTGTGAGAAGCTTGTTTTTATAGTATAAATCATAGACGAAGACCACATTGTTGTATTTAAATTATTTTAAAAATAATTGATAGGAAAATTATTGAATAATTCAGTAGAATATTCTTCTATATTTTTCTATATTTTTCTGGTCATTTTATAATTCATTTATCAGCTGAAATTATAATTATAAGAAGCTTGATAAATTTATACCAGAAATCATAGATGAAGACCAGATTCTTGTATTTAAATTATTCTAAAAATAATCAAATTTTCAATTGATGGTTACGACCAAGGAAAAAGTTTTTACTAATATAATAAGTTCATAGGAAAATTATTGAATAATTCAATAGAATATTCTTCTATATTTTTTTGTTCATTTTATAATTCTTTCATCGGCTGAAATTATAATTATAAGAAGCTTGATAAATTTATACCAGAAATCATAGATGAAGACCATATTATTGTATTTAAATTATTTTAAAAATAATTGATAGGAAAATTATTGAATAATTCAGTAGAATATTCTTCTATATTTTTCTATATTTTTCTGGTCATTTTATAATTCATTTATCAGCTGAAATTATAATTATAAGAAGCTTGATAAATTTATACCAGAAATCATAGATGAAGACCAGATTGTTGTATTTAAATTATTCTAAAAATAATCAAATTTTCAATTGATGGTTACGACCAAGGAAAATGTTTTTACTAATATAATAAGTTCATAGGAAAATTATTGAATAATTCAATAGAATATTCTTCTATATTTTTTTGTTCATTTTATAATTCTTTCATCGGCTGAAATTATAATTATAAGAAGCTTGATAAATTTATACCAGAAATCATAGATGAAGACCATATTATTGTATTTAAATTATTTTAAAAATAATTGATAGGAAAATTATTGAATAATTCAGTAGAATATTTTTTTGTATTTTTCTATATTTTTCTGGTCATTTTATAATTCATTTATCAGCTGAAATTATAATTATAAGAAGCTTGTTAAATTTATACCAGAAATCATAGATGAAGACCAGATTGTTGTATTTAAATTATTCTAAAAATAATCAAATTTTCAATTGATGGTTACGACCAAGGAAAAAGTTTTTACTAATATAATAAGTTCATAGGAAAATTATTGAATAATTCAATAGAATATTCTTCTATATTTTTTTGTTCATTTTATAATTCTTTCATCGGCTGAAATTATAATTATAAGAAGCTTGATAAATTTATACCAGAAATCATAGATGAAGACCATATTATTGTATTTAAATTATTTTAAAAATAATTGATAGGAAAATTATTGAATAATTCAGTAGAATATTTTTCTATATTTTTCTATATTTTTCTGGTCATTTTATAATTCATTTATCAGCTGAAATTATAATTATAAGAAGCTTGTTAAATTTATACCAGAAATCATAGATGAAGACCAGATTCTTGTATTTAAATTATTCTAAAAATAATCAAATTTTCAATTGATGGTTACGACCAAGAAAAAATTTTTTACTATTATAATAAGTTGATAGTTAAATTGTCCATTTTATAATTCGTATATCAGCTGAAATTATAATTATAAGAAGCTTGTTAAATTTATACCAAAAATCATAGACAAAAACCATATTATTATACTTAAATAATTCCAAAAATAATGAACAATTTACTAGAATATTCTACCATTTCTTAATTCCATTTTACAATTTATCAAGCAACATTATAATCATAAGAAGCTTGCTAAATTCATACCTCGTTATTTCGTGTACATGTCTGCCCAAGGATTGCTGCTGGCAGGTGAGATGAACAAAAAAAGTCTAATTTATAAATAATTTCAGTTAATTGCACTATATTCGATTATGTCTTCCAAACGAGCTTATCTCGTTTCAAGTGGAAGGCTACCGTGATAATATTTTTGCAAAATCCTTATCGATTCACACATTCTGACTCTCATTTAGATATTCACAGTTTTAATTTAGGAGTGCTGGATAAATGTTTGATTTAAAGCAACTCGTGTTTGATCAGATAAGGACAACACGGCCATAATAGTTGGTGTCACGGTTCCAATAGTGCTTCTGCTGGCTTTGTTGGGCATTGGGCTGCTGGTGAGGAGAAGAAGGAGTCAGGGTCGCAAAACGACAGAAACTAGAACCAGCGATAATTTATCCCTACCTGACAGTGTCATTGAAACCAGGTAAATTGAATTTAAATTTCATATTTTAATAATTTTCAATTTATCTAATTTCAATTTTTCAAAATTTATTATTTGGTCACAGTGTTCCAAAGGAAAATAATTCTTTTCGAAATTTCTTATTTTATATTTTAATAATTTTCAATTTATCTAATTTCAATTTTTCAAAATTTATTATTTGGTCACAGTGTTCCAAAGGAAAATAATTCTTTTTCAAATTTTTTGTTTTGCAGTCGACCAATAAAGATCGAAGACTTTGCAGAGCATTATCGAACTATGTCAGCGGACTCTGACTTCCGGTTCTCGGAGGAATTCGAAGAATTAAAGCACGTTGGAAGAGATCAGCCTTGCACAGCTGCGGATTTACCGTGCAATAGGCCAAAGAATCGTTTCACCAATATTTTACCCTACGACCACAGTAGATTCAAGCTACAACCTGTGGACGATGAAGAGGGTTCTGACTATATAAACGCCAATTACGTTCCTGTAAGTTCTAACATTCTATTAAAAAAAAAAGAAATAAAAAATAATCATTATTTTACTGTGGATTTTTATGCAAATTTTTATTAACACTTTACCGACCGGTAGCGATTGATTAATCGGCTATCGGTCGGTAAGCGTCGGTCGATAAAACAGTTGATTAATAGGCTACCGGTCGGTAAGCGTTGGCCGGTAAAACAGTCGATTAATAGGCTATCGGTCGGTAAAGTGTTAATAAAATTAATTGAGATGCGAGCTTTGCAGAGGGTTGTTTCAACCCCCCAATTACGTTCCTGTAAGTTTCAACATTTTATTTAAAAAAATTCATAAAAAATAATCATTATATTGCTTGTGGATCTTTATGCAAATTTTTATTAATAAAATGAATTGTAATGTGAGCCTTGCAGAGGGGTGTTTCAACCCCCCAATTACGTTCCTGTAAGTTCCAACAATTTATTACAAAAAAAAAAATAAAAAATAATCATTATTTTGCTTGTGGATCTTTATGAAAATTTTTATTGATAAGATTAATTGTAATGTGAGCTTTGCAGAGGGTTGTTTCAACCCCTCCAATTACGTTCCTGTAAGTTCCAACATTTTATTGAAAAAAAAAAGTAAAATATAATCATTATTTTGCTGTGGATTTTTATGAAAATTTTTATTAATAAAATTAATTGAGATGAGAGCTTCTTAGAGGGTTGTTTCAACCCCCCAAATAATTTTCAATTCAGAGATTAGGAATGTCGCAAAAATTAACGAAAATCTTCATACAAATTTATATTTTTATTAATAAAATTATTTGGAGCTACGTAGAGGGTTGTTTCAACCCCCGCAAAATAATTTTAATTTTATTCCAACTATTTTTCATATTTTTCTTTTGAAATGTGAGCTTCTTAGAGGGTTGTTTCAACCCCCAAATAATTTTCAATTCATAGATTAGGAATATCGCAAAAATTGACGAAAATCTTCATACAAATTTATATTTTTATTAATAAAATTAATGGGAGCTTCCGTAGAGGGTTGTTTCAACCCCCCCAAAATAATTTTAATTTCATTCCAACTATTTTTCATATTTTTCTATATCAAGTGTATTCTGTAATTTTTTAAAAATTTCTCATAAATGTATAAATATCCACAGTCTACTAATTAAGCGTGTAATTAACTGCAATGTCGACTTGGCAGGTTTCAGTGTACACTGCTTTTACAGTTTCTAATTGTATTTGCGAACAGTGATTCAAGTTTATATCGTTCCTGCTATCTCGTGTCAATATTGCAAGGTGTATACTAATCTTGAGTACACAGATGTAATTCTCCTGCTTGGTAGCATGTGGCGATAAAACGAACCTCGCACGAGATATTTACTAAGCTAGTTTCATTTATTTTTCATTTTTTTTACCACTTTGTTTGGCAAACAAAAATATCCACTGGACAGGTACAGGAACAATGTTGTATATTTTTATACTGTTTTACACTAAAATAGTGTTTCTATATTGTTATAATAGTGTTTGTTTACCTCTTGATGTATTTAATTTATATGATAATTTATACTATTTAATTGCAAATAATTTTTCAAATTTATTCTATGTAATTCCAAATATTTTTTCAAATTTATACTACTTTATTCCAAATAATTTTTCAAATTTATAATATCTGATTGCAAATAATTTTTCAAATTTATACTATTTAATTCCAAATAATTTTTCAAATTTATACTATTTAATTTCAAATAATTTTTCAAACTTATACTATTTTGTTTAAATTTATTGTTATCAAGAATGGGTAAAACACTTTTGTTAAACTTGACATCAATATTTGCACAGTTATAGATTTAATTATCCAGTTAAAAAATAAATAACATTGTAGGGGAAGATATTCAATAATTTTTAAAATATCAATGATAGTTTTATTATTATCTATCATATATAATTGTAATCTTTCAAGTTATATTATAATTATCACCATGGGGCGTGAGGGTAAAGTACAAGACTCCCACGCAGTTGGCCCGTGTTCGATTCCCAGTGACCACGAAAGTTTTTTCTCTTAATATAATTAAGTTTTAATTATAAAATTCATACATAAAAATGATAATTATCTTATAAACAAATTGTCTTTGTATTTAGTAATGTTTATAATAACGTATACAAAAATATAATGGTGGTAATTGCAACATTAGATAATGTGGAGACCACCATATCTTCTCCTTATAATAAGATATATAAATTAAATAATAAAATCTACAAAAATAATAATTTACTCTAAAATAAAGTGTCTTAGTAATTACTAAATATACAAAAATATAATGGTGATAATTGCAACTTGATTAAAAAATTATATTTATAAATAATGAAGACCCTATCTTCTCCTTATAATAAGATATATAAATTAAATAATAAAATCTACAAAAATGCTAATAATTTACTCAAAAATAAAGTGTCTTACTATTTACTAAATATACAAAAATATAATAGTAGTAATTCCAACTTGATTAAAATTATATTTATAAATAGTGATAACCTTGTCCTCTCCTCATAAAATACTAATTACATCGACCACTATAAATGAAATGAAAATTAACGTGTTCTGATGCTTTAATTTAACTGTTCCAGGGCCACAATTCTCCAAGAGAATTCATTGTCACCCAAGGACCCCTGCATTCGACGCGAGACGACTTCTGGCGGACAGTTTGGGAGAGCAACAGTCGAGCCATAGTGATGCTAACGAGGTGTATCGAGAAGGGCAGAGAAAAATGCGATCACTACTGGCCCATGGACACCCTACCCGTCTACTATGGCGACATCTGCGTCACCATATTGAACGAGACACGCTACCCCGACTGGAGCATCACGGAGTTCATGTTGTGCAGAGTGAGTAGCTCGAATCTCACCAATAAACTCATCTTGAAAAACTACAAATCACTCTATTTGAGACTCGAGTTCCCCCATTTAATTTCTGACACTTTTATCTCCTCTGCAACCAACTGATGCGCCTTGTTTTCCAACAGGGGGACGTCAAGAGAGTCATCCAGCACTTCCACTTCACAACCTGGCCTGATTTCGGTGTTCCAAGTCCGCCTCAGACCCTAGCTAGATTCGTCAGAGCCTTCAGAGAGAGAGTCAGGCCCGACCAAAGGCCAATAGTTGTACATTGTAGCGCTGGAGTAGGTCGTAGCGGGACCTTCATCACTTTGGACAGAATACTCCAACAAATATTGGTGTCCAAGTACGTGGACATCTTTGGAATAGTCTGGGCGATGAGGAAAGAGCGCGTTTGGATGGTCCAGACCGAGCAACAGTACATCTGCATACACCAGTGCCTCCTGGCGGTTCTGGAGGGCCAGGACACCACTGGACCACCTCGAGAGATCCACGACAATCAAGGATTCGAAGGTGGGATTTGCTCCGTTTTTATCAGTCCCCTTGAAGAGAATCAGAAACTACTTTTAATAGTTTTGGAAAACGAAGACACATTTGGAACCCTCAAGTCTCTTTTTTTTATAATTTTATTTGTTTGAAACGTTTCTGTTAACATTGAATTGTACCTTGCTTGAAAAGGGGGATATTCGAGCAATGTTAAGAGGAAGTATTATTATTATTGGAGTATGATCTGGTGATGGTGATGGTGATGGTGATGGTGGTAGTAGTAGTATTATTTTAACACTTTACCGACCGGTAGCGGTTGATTAATCGGCTATCGGTCGGTAAACGCCGACCGATAAAACAGTTGATTGATAGGCTATCAGTCGGTAAGCGTCGGCCGGTAAAACAGTCGATTAATAGGCTATCAGTCGGTAAGCGTTAGCCGGTAAAACAGTCGATTAATAGGCTAACGGTCGGTAAAGTGTTGAGAAAGGGCCCAGTTTTGGGCCCCATTGCAAGGTGTTGCTTTTGGTAAATTGTGTCACATCCGTACGTAGCGATTCACTTCCCTTTTGCAACCTTGTACTCCCTTTGAATCCAGGCAAGAATCGAAGCGCGGTTGAAAGCACAAAGACCACGGCCGAAGATGAAAAGGAAAGGTGACCTTCGAACTGCGAATCATGCGCTGATGGTAATTTCGATCCTGGCTTTTTTTTTATCTCTCACCGAGTTACGCGTAGTTGCAAACTACTCTCACTTAAGCATGCAGCATGCATATATTATTATCTAACAAATACAACACGACACTGGTCTCTGTGATCTTTGTACTTTTTTGTTTGTTTATTTAGACAAATTTTTGACAATGAAAAATTTTAAAATTGAATTAAAATTGAAATTGAATGAAAATTAAAATTAAAAATACAACACAACACTGATCTCTGTGATCTTTGTATTTTTTTGTTTGTTTATTTAGACAAATTTTTAACACTTTTTGTTCGTATATAAAAAGTGATAAAATTGAATTAAAATTAAAATTGATTCACACTATATATTTTAGGAATACTTGCTAAATTGATTTATAATTATAAAGTGTTGTAATATAGTTTGAAGAATAATTTGATTTTTGGTTTCAAATTTAATAAAATTCAGCGATCCACCACAAATTTATTCACACTATACAGGGTGTTTGGCCACCCCTGGGTGTAATGAGAGATTCTAGGGTCCAAAATAAGACGAAAATCAAGAATAGCAATTTGTTGATTGAGGCTTCGTTAAAAAGTTATTAATTTTTGAAGATCCGCCCATATCGAATTTTTTTCTCGAAAATGGGTAGGATTTCGGGGATATTTGTAATGACCAAAAATGATTATAATTGACCCTTGTAACCGGAAATAATTTTTTTAGGACGATTTGAAATTTTCATTTTTCGTTGAAAAATTTTGGAATCTATTCGAATTTTTTTCTCGAAAGTGTGTAGGAATTTGGGGGTATGTCTATTGACCAAAAATTCTTGTAATTTACCCCCCTACCTGGATATAATTTTTTTAGAACGATTTGAAAAATTTTAATTTTGTCGAAAAATTTTACAACTTCTCGAATTTTTTTCTCGAAACTGGTTAGGAATTCGTGGTTATGTCTAATGATAAAAAATGATTGTAATTGACCCCTGCAACCGAAAATAATTTTTTCAGAATGATTTGAAACTTTTTAATTTCATCGAAATATTTGTCCATTTACTGAATTTTTTTTCTCGAAAATGGTTAGGATTTCGGGAATATGTCTAATGACCAAAAATGATTGCAATCTACCTTTGCAACTGAAAATAATTTTTTTAGAACGATTTGAGAAATTTTAATTTTGTCGAAAAATTTATTCACTTATTGAATTTTTTTTCTCGAAACTGGTTAGGATTTCGAGGGTATGTCTATTCACCACAAATGATTGTAATTGGCTCCCTCAACTAAAAACATTTTTTTTAGAACGATTTGATATTATTTTTTTTTCGTGGAAAAATTTAGGCAGCTACCCCCTGTCGATTTTCCTTAGAAATTCGTTTTTCATGTTTAATAAATTTGTTTGACGCGCTACGGAAATTTTGTTTAATACTTTTTTGTAGGCACCCATGAGCTCTATTTTAGAAAAAAGTTTCATCGAAATATATTCACTATTGTAAGAGTTATGGCTGTTTGAAAATTGAACCATTTTTATGTGGTTTTTTTAATTTTACAGATTGAACGAATAAATTTTTCAGAATTTTTACAATTTCTACATATTCTTCATCAAAATACGCGTCGTTTGCATTTTTAAACTTCAAAATCGTCCAATCCCTTCAGAAGTTATGACATTTTAAAGATTCGCATGAAATTTCAGGTCAACGATATGGTCAGACGCGTAATTTTCGGTAATGAATTTTTTTCTCGAAAATGCGTAGGATTTCGGGGGTATGTCTATTCACCAAAAATGATTATAATCGATCCTCGCAACTAAAAATATTTTTTCCAAAACGATTTGAAATTTTTTAATTTTGTCTAAAAATTTCAGTTCCTACTAGAATTTTTTTCTCTAAAGTGGGTAGGATTTCGATGGTACGTCTAATGACCAAAAATGATCGTGATTGACCGCTGTAACTAAATATATTTTTTTAGAACGATTTGAAAATTTTTCTTTTTCACCAAAAAATTTAGGCACCTACTCGAATTTTTTTCTCGAAAGTGAGTAGGATTTCGAAGATATGTGTATTCACCAAAAATGATTGCAATTAACCACCCCAACCAAAAATAATTTTTTCAGAATGATTTGAAATTTTTTAATAATTTAACGAAACCTCAGTCAAGAAATTCATATTTTTTATTTTGGCCTCTAAAATCTCCTATTAAAATTTTTCCCAGGGGTGGCTGAACACCCTATATATTTCAGCAATACTTGCAAAATACAATTGATTCATAATTATAAAGTATTATAACACAATTAAAACCATAATCTGATTTTTGTTTTTTAAACCAGTTTTACAATGCAAATTTGATGATCGTTTAGGATACTTTATAATTACTGTCTGCATACTTTTCCATAACAATATTTCAAATACACCCATGCACAGATTCTTCTGCATTTAACCAAAATCGCTTAAAAATTACACAATTTAATTACAAAAGGCATGGTTACATCTAACTCGCAAATATCAACGATCTAATACAAAATTCTCAATCGTTTTCCTATATTTTTGCAGACGACGAAGGGATAGCGGAATCGGGGATGTGATGTTCGAACATCTCGTTGAATTCAGGGATCAACGATTGAGAGGAACTCTTAGGTATTGAATGGGTGCAGTGCGCCAGGAAAAAAAATAGTATTACAAGTGATAAAATACGATCAAAATGTTGAAAGTGGAAATTAACAGTTTACCGACCGATAGCCTGTTAATCGACTGTTTTACCGGCCAACGCTTACCGACCGATAGCCTATTAATCAACTGTTTTATCGGCCGACGCTTACCGACCGATAGCCGATTAATTAAATCGCTACCGGTCGGTAAAGTGTTAAGACGATGTAGAATCATCCACGAAAGTGTTCGACGGTGACTTTTTCCAGCAAAAAGTGTTTTTTCAAAACGAAACGACAAACTAGTTAGCTTTTTCACGATGGACAATACACACAAGTGATATGATTTTAGTTCCCTTTTTATAAAATGTTTCGCGGCGATACGCGAGATGGACGTTTGTTTAAAGTTTCGACGAACAAATAATACGGAGGAGCGTTCAAGATCGCCTCGAAAATCAACAGTTTTCGACAATAATTCGAACGTACGAAAAATTGTCGACCACCAAGAAGAGACTTACCCCTATCGTTTCCACAATAGCATATTTTAATCGTTCATGTAACCTACGATGGAAGAATTTTGTGAACCAAGCTATTCGAGGATAATTGCTACAGCCAGAGACGAACAAAGACGTTTGGAAAGAACAATGATTGTATTTCGAGAGAGAAAAATAACGATGAAATTCGACTGGATGGAATTAGAGGGGCGAAAGTTCGAATTCTCGAACGAGACGAATCGATTCGAATTTACCACAACGGCGAAGATTAATAATTTTCTTACTTTTCACAGATTGTTTACATATCGAGAGAGAGAGAGAGTATGAGTATGAGAATAATTGGTGTTTCGGGGCGTGGAGACGGAGAGCTTCCCATGCTCGCCGCTAGAGGGATCCGCGCTCTCACAAGCGCTCGATCCACGGTTGATATTAACGCTAGAACTACTATAGTGTATTTATTTTCAAGAGAAATTGACACGATATGTGCTTGGAGAAACGTATAATACAATTTCAGTTGAATAATTTCTATAATAAAATAATAATTTTTCAGTTAATAATTCACAATTTTTATTAGAATCTTCGAATCGATTATTTTGAGTATTTTGGTAGTTCTGGTGTTGAGTAGTGAGATTGGTAATCCCGATGTGATTAATGTGGCGTCGCCTCCCAAGCTCGCCGCTAGAGGGACTGCATTCTCACAAGCGCTCGATCCACGGTTGATATTAACGCTAGAACTACTATAGTGTATTTATTTTCAAGAGAAATTGACACGATATGTGCTTGGAGAAACGTATAATACAATTTCAGTTGAATAATTTCTATAATAAAATAATAATTTTTCAGTTAATAATTCACAATTTTTATTAGAATCTTCGAATCGATTATTTTGAGTATTTTGGTAGTTCTGGTGTTGAGTCGTGAGGTTGGTAACCCCGATGTGATTAATGTGGCGTCGCCTCCCAAGCTCGCCGCTAGAGGGACTGCATTCTCACAAGCGCTCGATCCACGGTTGATATTAACGCTAGAACTACTATAGTGTATTTATTTTCAAGAGAAATTGACACGATATGTGCTTGGAGAAACGTATAATACAATTTCAGTTGAATAATTTCTATAATAAAATAATAATTTTTCAGTTAATAATTCACAATTTTTATTAGAATCTTCGAATCGATTATTTTGAGTATTTTGGTAGTTCTGGTGTTGAGTAGTGAGATTGGTAATCCCGATGTGATTAATGTGGCGTAGCTTCCCAAGTTCACCGCTAGAGGGACTGCAGTCTCACAAGCGCTCGACTCACGGTTGATATTAACGCTAGAACTACCGATAATTATAGTGTATTTATTTACATCGAGAGAAATTGAAAGGAATTGTACTTGGAAAAACGAATAATGCAATCTAATTGAATAATTCTTTTACAATTTTTATTAGAAATGAGTCATTTTGAGTGCTTTGGTAGTTCTGGTGTTGAGTCGTGAGGTTGGTAACCCCGATGTGATTAATATAGCGTGTCATCCCAAGCTCAGCAGTCAATGTTGATCGAGCGCTTGTGAGAACGCGGATCCCTCTAGCGGCGAGCTTGGGAAGCAACGCCAGAAATTTAATAAGATTCGTCTGGACTTTGTTACGTGACATTCTGTACATATGAATCGGCATTACGACCATTTCGAGGGTAATTGTTTCTACGATGTAGTTAAGTCCAGGTTGCATATCTTAAGAAACGTAAGATTGAGTATTTCGCATCGAGTTGCCACAAATCAAACGTTAGATTTACAACAAATCGACATTATGCATATCGATTTTCCTATTACAAAATTTTTCTGTAAAATATTTTACTTTTATTAACAAAACTGAGCAAATAATTTTCAAAATTTAAAAACTGATAAATAACAGTTATCTTTTGCATATCAATTCCCCCCAAAAACACGTTTTACAATAAATGGTAAATTTTAAGAAAATTATTAAATTATTTAATTATCAAAAATAAAATTAACAACAAATTATCTCATTTATCAAAATAAATGCTAATAAGAACTAATTCCTATACACAAAAAAAAAAAATTTTGAATATAATTGAAAACAAAAAGTGTGTTGAAATTGTTATTAAAAATTGAAGCTATCAACGTAAATAACAGTGCATTATCATTTTGTAAAATTGCTGGAAATGATTTCTTATCCCAGCAACACATTTTACCTGATTTTTTATTTGCTTCAAATTAATAATAATCATTTGTATTTAGATTATTGTTTCCTTTTTTTGGTGGTCGATTTGTTGGTAATCTGATCGAAATTAAATCGACACTGTCGCGAGTGGCAACTATCCGTCCAAGGGCCGTAGTAGAGACGCCAGTTAAATGTTTAAACATTACATAGAACGAGAATGAGAGGGGGACGAATGATTGTCTGTCCTCGTTTGTCACGATAGAAACATGTCAGTGGGAACAAGAAACTCGCATCTTCGTAGAAGCCATATCACTTTTTCATGAGAATCACTTCGATCCGTGTTATACATATTCAATAAATAATCCGCGCTCGATTCGACGGAGATTTGCCTGAAAGATTGATTCGTATCGGTCGTCGTTAACGTTTAGCAATTTTTCAAACAGGATTTTTCCAACGCGACAAAGCTCCCAGGAAGCTCCGAAAACTATAAAAAACAGTCTTCTCAATCAGAAGTTAGCACGAGGTGAGCAGGTACTGAAACGAACGTAAAAGATCGATAAACAATTGCAAATTTCTATTATTTCCACGGACCAAACGAACGAGAGAGGTTTCTTTCCAGAGAAAATCGATTTTTTAAATGGTTAAAATGCGTTTCACTTTGGTACCTACGTTTTCTGGCGAACGTTGAACGATGACAGTTTCAGAACGAGTCCGGAGTTAGTACTTAGAGTCAAGTTTTCTCGACACAAAGACGTGTACTTAATTTTCTATTTAAAAAAAAAAAAGTGGAAAGCATTTAGGCGTTTAAGAATGAAACCGGTCACTCTCAACAGGGTCAAACGAATTGTCTCCATCGAGTTTCCTCCAGGAAGCTTCGAAAAGGACACGAAAAACACACACTGTATTTTTGGAGAAATGTTTGTATATCGCTTTAAGTATCTAGAACGGACCTGCACACTTTTAAATGTTCGTAATCTGTCGCGAGAACGCGTAGTATTCGCATCTCCGCTGTTGCTGGCTGTCCGCTGATTGGCTCTCGCCGCGAGGACCGCTGCAGGGCGCCGATTGGTCGCTACAGAGCGCTCTCGACCAATGAGCGAGTCAGCTGACAGCGACAGGAGTGGAGATGCCTTCTTCTCGCGGAAGAATAATTAATCTGTCGCGAGAACGCACAGTGTTTGCGTCTCCACTGTTGCTGGCTGCCCGCTGATTGGCTCTCGCCGCGAGGACCGCTGCAGGGCGCTGATTGGTCGCTACAGCGCGCTCTCGACCAATGAGCGAGTCAGCTGACAGCGCCAGGAGTGGAGATGCCTTCATCTCGCGGAAGAATAATTAATCTGTCGCGAGAACGCACAGTGTTTGCGTCTCCACTGTTGCTGGCTGCCCGCTGATTGGCTCTCGCCGCGAGGACCGCTGCAGGGCGCTGATTGGTCGCTACAGCGCGCTCTCGACCAATGAGCGAGTCAGCTGACAGCGACAGGAGTGGAGATGCCTTCTTCTCGCGGAAGAATAATACTTGTATGAGAAACAATATTTCTTTTTTATCGATCCTTTGATCCCGCGGTGCTTTCGATCGTTCCGAAAGGCTTAAGCTTCGAAGTGTAACAATGTGAATGTTGACGAATTTAAAATTGTACCAGTTTTGTACACGAATTAACCCCGAGGTCCACGTTTTTCCCCGATTTTCATGGAACAGCTTATAAAATTAGTCGTGCATATTGTAAGGAATATTTAAACTGAATAATCGCTATCGTCGAATATTTTTATAACGCTTCGCGGTGATTCGTGAGGAGGATATATTGAATAAGGGAATTGCCAATCGATTGCCAAATAGAGTATTATAGATGGTTAAGGCTTGTATAATTACAATTTCAGATGTTTTTTCTTGTAATAGATCTACGTTGTAATGAATATTGATAAGAGTTTGTAGGTGTAGTGTAAGGATCGAGGGATTATTATGTCGCGGGCAATGGATCGATAAAAAGTCGCCTTTGGACAGCTGCAGTTTCCAATCCATCGAATTAATTTTTTCGTATATAGTACGCTGTATGTGTGTGTGCATATACTCTCGATGTTTCACGCGCAGATGATAATTATGGCATCAAGTAAATCAAATTTATTTATAAAATGTGTGTTTCTTCGCTGAGTATAAAAAATTCAGAGGAAACGTGCAGATTCTTGTATGATATTTAATTATTTGATTATTTAATTTTTGAGAAGCGACTCAGATTTTTAGTGCAATATGGCGATCGTTCGTTAATATTGGGAAGATTTTTATTCGCTGATAATGTATATTCTTATCGTCACGATGGAGCATTTTGGATTTTTGGGATGTATTGAGTTTTTCGAAATTTGTGAAATTTAGTATTTTTAAAAATTGGTTTAGTGAAGCGGAATGGTACTTTTAGGGTTTCACAATTTCATTTTTGCATTTTGGATATCTGGGATATGTTTATTTGGTTAAAAATTGTGAATATTGAATTTTGCAAAATTTAATATTTTTAAAAATTGATTTTATCGAAGAGAAATGGTATTTTTAGGGTATCACAATTTTATTTCTGCAGTTTGGATTTCTAGAATCTATTGATTTCATTAAAATTCGAGAATATGGAATTTTGCAAAATTTTATATTTAAAAAAATCGATTTTACGTTACCTTTACCGAAAAAAATGGTACTTTTGGGGTATTAGAATTTAATTTCTGCATTTTGGAATTCTAGAATATATTAATTTCATTAAAATTCGAGAATATTGAATTTTGTAAAATTTAATATTTTCAAAAATCGATTTTACGTTACCTTTACCAAGAAAAATGGTACTTTTGAGGTACCACAATTTCATTTCTGCATTTTGAATCTCTAGAATATATTGAGTTCATTAAAATTTGTGAATATTGAATTTTGGGAAATTTAATATTTTCAAAAATCGATTTTACGTTATCTTTACCGAGAAAAATGGTAATTTTAAGGTTTCACAGTTTCATTTCTGCATTTTTGATTTCTAGAATATATTAATTTCATTAAAATTCACGAATATTGTTTTGTGCAAAATTTAATATTTACAAAAATCGATTTTACGTTACCTTTACCAAGAAAAATGGTATTTTTGGGGTACCACAATTTCATTTGTGCATTTTGAATGTTTAGAATGTATTGATTTCATTAAAATTCACGAATATTGTTTTGTGCAAAATTTAATATTTTCAAAAATCGATTTTGCGTTACCTTTACCTAAAAAAATGGTATTTTTAAGGTTTCATAGTTGCATTTCTGCATTTTGGATGTCTAGAACATATTAATTTCATTAAAAATTCGAGAATGTTATTTTTCGCAAAATTTAATATTTTCAAAAATCGATTTTACGTTACCTTTACCGAAAAAAATGGTATTTTTAGGGTATCACAATTTTATTTCTGCTATTTTGATTTTTATAATACATTAATTTCATTAAAATTCACGAATATTGTTTTGTGCAAAATTTAATATTTACAAAAATCGATTTTACGTTACCTTTACCAAGAAAAATGGTATTTTTGGGGTACCACAATTTCATTTGTGCATTTTGAATGTTTAGAATGTATTGATTTCATTAAAATTCACGAATATTGTTTTGTGCAAAATTTAATAATTTCAAAAATCGGTTTTACGTTAACTTTACCTAAAAAAATGGTATTTTTAAGGTTTCATAGTTTCATTTCTGCATTTTGGATGTCTAGAACATATTAATTTCATTAAAATTCGAGAATGTTATTTTTCGCAAAATTTAATATTTTCAAAAATCGATTTTACGTTACCTTTACCGAAAAAAATGGTATTTTTAGGGTATCACAATTTTATTTCTGCTATTTTGATTTTTATAATACATTAATTTCATTAAAATTCACGAATATTGTTTTGTGCAAAATTTAATATTTACAAAAATCGATTTTACGTTACCTTTACCAAGAAAAATGGTATTTTTGGGGTACCACAATTTCATTTGTGCATTTTGAATGTTTAGAATGTATTGATTTCATTAAAATTCACGAATATTGTTTTGTGCAAAATTTAATATTTTCAAAAATCGATTTTGCGTTACCTTTACCTAAAAAAATGGTATTTTTGTGGTTTCATAGTTGCATTTCTGCATTTTGGATGTCTGGAACATATTAATTTCATTAAAAATTCGAGAATGTTATTTTTCGCAAAATGTAATATTTTCAAAAATCGATTTTACGATACCTTTACCGAAAAAATGGTATTTTTGATTTACCACAATTCCATTTCTGCATTTCAGATTTCTAGAATATATCGATTTCAATAAAAATTCGTGAAAATTATTTCTTGCAAAATTTAATATTTTCAAAAATCGATTTACCCCAAAAAATGGGTATTTTTAAGTTATCACAATTTTAAATAATGATAAATATTAAATTCTCTATCGTTTTTAAATCGTTATAGTTAACAAATTCTTCCTCCAAAGATGTTTTTGCAAATATAAAATTTATAATAACGTAAAAACGATCTAATTTCTAACAAATGAGGCATTCCATAACAAAACAGTCTTTATTTTTGCTCGAAACTCAAGTTTGGTTTGATAAACTCTGACAAATAATATTATACATTATCCAATTAGGAATATTAATTTTATTTACTTCTCTGAAAACTGTCTTTTTCTATTTTCCCATTACATTTTGTTTAAATAAATTCCCAACATTAACAGCTCTTTTTGAAATAATCTCAAACGATCACCTAACAATAAATCTTCGATCAGAGCTTAGAAAAAAAGTTTGCTTCGTTCATAAATTTCTCTACACAACGATAAACAAAACTCACATAAAAATAATTTGTTTACATTCTATGGTCAAACAAGAACAATTACAAATTCTTGTAGACATTCACTAAGATCTTACAGTACCATAATTTTGAGTATATACACATGATAGATATAATCAAACGACTGATATGGAAAGCTTGAAACTTGTAAACAAAACTGTAAAAATGGAGAAACAATGATAATTATTTTCATTTTCAAGGTGCTCGATTTCAATAAAAGTGGATAAAATATTTCTTAAAATTGAGACCACTTGCCAAGTTTGGCAAAAAATATTTTGTTTATTGTTAAAAAAATCGAGCACGAGAAAAATTGCGATTTTTTTTTAATTAATTTAATACGTTGCTCTGTGATAGATCACTTATAGTCGGTGCAAAATTTAATTAATTTTAATTAAAACGTGGATGATCAATTAATTTCCATCAATTATCGGTTCCGTGCCAATTGTTTTTAGTCGATTAATTAAAACAGAGATGTCAAAATAGGGATATTGTACGATAAAATTAAATATTAAGGAACACCGCACGGTATTGCGACATTTTGTACATAATTACGGTATTTAGGACGGAAAGTGCGTATATATTTTTTAAACGGCGCGCTTAAAACATTAATGTTAATCCTCGCGAAGCGTGCTTTACGATAATGCCTGCGATCGATTACAAAATATCGAGAACTGCGAAAAGTGCTTTTTGTACGCGTTGCAACAAAAAAAAAAACAAATTATTCGCAACAAACGTGCTACGAGTTTAATTTTTAAATAATTTCAAATTATTCACCGGACACGAAATATTAAATTTTTACATTTTCTGTGCGTGGGAAAAATTATTGTTAATTTTTAAAAAAAATTGTTTTTATAAATTATTATACGGTGAAAATTTTTAATATTTCCGTTGGAATTTATTTTTCTGAAAATTGCGCGAGGGAATCATGCGTACCATTTAAGTTTAGTTTTCTTTTGTAAATACACAGTTTTATACCAGCTGCAACGACAGCTGATTAGTTCAGATGGTTTCCACGAATCACGGAATTCATTTTTTTTGTGATTCGTGGAAACCGTCTGAACCACATTTGTCGTATTAATATTATAAAACATGTTAGTATGTATCTGAAGAATTGTACAGCGTGCGATGCACGAAGGGACACGGGCTGTCTCGAAAAAAATAAAAAAAAGGAAAGAAGACGAAATATGCGTGCATAATAAAGATGGTTCTTCCAATAAAATTGTGTCGAATTAATTAGAAACAATTTTCAGGAAAAACCTTTTCGATACTGTTTATTTTTTCTAAACTGTGTTTAGAAATAATTCGTAACATTATTTCTATCAAAGGTGTCAAAACACAAAATTTTCTATTTATTTTCTAGTATTTATTTTCTATTTATTTTCTTGTATTTATTTTCTATTTATTTTCTATTTATTTTCTCATTTATTTATTTGAATTTATAAAAATATTTTTTTTACCAACAATACACCTGATTAGAATATTAGTGTTAATATTTCTTCCTTTTTATTGTATTTAAATAATTTCTTAAAGAATTTACAGGAAGAAGCATTTCGATACTGTTTATTTTTCTAAACTGTGTTTAGAAGTACTTTGTAACATTATTTCTATCGAAGGTGTCAAAACACAAGATTTTCTATTTATTTTCTATTTTCTCATTTACTTTTTTGAATTTAAAAACATATTTTTTTTACAATACACCTGATTAGAATATTAGTGATAATATTTCTTCCTTTTTATTGTATTTAAATAATTTCTTGACTTTTGTATTAAACATTAAAATTTTTGTAAATTCGAAACACTATTGTCACAGAAATTTCATGCAAAACGCTGGACCAACTTTTACCATAAAAGCTCGATCAATGAAAATCCGATTCATCATAATTGTACGTCACTGGTGGATTTATGGTGTCAGGGGAACGAAGACGAGCTAAAGTCGAGGAAAAAAAATTCAACGATTATATTAACGTTCCACTTTTTTCCACCAACTTTCAAAAAATTTCACATTCGATATAAAGAAATTTCTGTGTGACAATTTAATTGAGAAATATTAAGCACGTTCCATATTTTCATTAACATTAATGTGGACATAAATCATAATTTTCTTGTTTTACATACAGTTACTCCCACTCTAGTATTTCTACACTTTGTTTGGGTTTTTTTTTTATTAATTATTTCATATTTTTTATTTACCAAATTTATTTATTGTAGTGTGGTTTTATTTCTATTTATGTTTGTTTATTGTCACAGTATTTTTTTTTCTGAATTATTCTGCATTTATTGTTTACCAAATTTATTTATTATACTGTGTTTTTATTTATGTTTGTTTGTTGTTACTGTAAATGGAAAGAAGCTTCTTTTTTTTCTGAATTATTCCACATTTTTTATTTACCAAATTTATTTATTATACTGTGTTTTTATTTCTATTTATATGTTTGTTTATTGTCACTGTGTTCTTTTTTTCTGAATTATTCTGCATTTATTGTTTATCAAATTTATTTATTATAACTGTATTTTTGTTTCTAACTATGAAGTAATTTCATTTATTTGTTGGCCACTATAAATGGAAAGAAGCTTCTTTTTTCATGAATTCTTTTTCCACTTATAATTTTATACACAATTGTAATTTTTATTATAAATTATTTGTGTTTAACTTCTATTTTACTCTGTAGTTTTTTGCAAATCAATTATAATTAACAATTACAGAGTTATATCTAATAATATAAACACTGTAAAAATCGACAATT